ATTCCAATAAGAAACAATGGAAATAGAAATCATCTGTTCCAGAGTTGACTTCCATCATCACTGTGAAGTCATTCTAGAAAATCCTAAACGAAATATCTTGACGTCGCAAGAAATTAAACAAAATACATGAAATAAATCATGCATGACAAAATAATTTCTATTGTGATCCTGAGAAACGTCAATCCCGGTCATGTGATGTCACTTCATGACAACAGTAGCGAGGCTCTCACTATGGAAAGTGTACGAATAATTTCTATTGTGATCCTGAGAAACGTCAATCCTGGTCATGTGATGTCACTTCATGACAACAGTAGCGGGGCTCTCACTAAGTGTACAAAGCCAGTCAGAAATCGATTTGGGAAGCGACGTTTCAAACTTATCTGAGAGGATCTAGGTGTTTGAAGGGTTGGAGAAAGAGGAGGTTGTTGGCAAAATGTATGTTGGACCATTCATGAATGAGCCAGATGCTCAGGATGCGGAAAATGTTGTGCCCGAACGGACGGACATGGAGGCGAGACCCATCGAGATTGGATTGGGTTACGTTAAAAAAAAACAAAACAAATGAAAGTATGCTTGAAATAGTTTGAGCCCCAATTACTCAAAAGATGGTCGGCCGAGTTTACTTCAAACCTGACCTTTATTTCGACAGACAATGTTTGAAGTCACATTTTGAGCTGTCACAAGGATCTAAAATATAGGATAATAAAACTTAAAAAGTAGTCAATTGGCTACTCAGTAACTTGGAGGAGGTTTGAAGGACACATGCAACAATGTGCACAAATTGTGCCTGGAGGGCGAGTCTCTCCACATTAGCACCCAACACAGCAGATTCAGGAGTAGAAATTCTGTGGTCGCTTACTTACTGATGCTGACTTGTTGCTTGAGCGATATTGTACTGATGAGCCAGGACGGAACCACGATTTTCCGATCAGTTCTATTCCTTGCCCTCTGGTCGTCCACCCACTTTTCTTCTCTGCTGCTCTAAAAACCCTCCAAAACAAAATCTAAAAACGATTTACGAAAACTACCTTCATATTTTTATGTTCTTTTTCCGTTACGAACAGTTTCAAATATCAGCACAAAACTTTCAGACTTCTGCTCAAAAGCTAAAAATGTCAACACGTGCCGACTTCACTTGGTCCATGACCCCCCTGAAAAATCATAATAATCATCACCATCGTATTGAGATTGCTCTTATGTTGCTTCTCTCGTACCCAACGCTCCAACACCCCAAAATAGAATCAAATATAAAAGCTCACCAATCCATCTCAACTACAAACTGGTGTCAACCGACAGCCCAACTGCATATTGATTACTCTTGGAATGCATGAAATGCAAATACAACTCCAGCAGCTCCAGAACCAGCCAGTGACTCACAGGGTTCAGACTACTGGCAATCGGATCGCCCAGTTCTCACTCTCACTCACACACACACACTTCAGGGAGTGTACGGTACATGTCAAAACGGCCCCTCCACTTCCTCCGGCCGGATTGGAACACCTCCTCCTGACCGTTTCGACATTTACAACCCACAAATACACCTCGCCTCTACCGAGGCTGCCAAGCATCAGACGGTGGGGATCTCCCTTCACACCCACATCCACGCAGCCACAGAAGATGAGCAATATTCTGTAGATCCAAAGCCAAAAGGTTGCTGGGTAACTGAAAGGCTAGAAAAACACACACACACACACACAGTCACGCGCAGACAGACAGACAAAGTGTTTTAAGATGACAAAAAAAAAAAAAGGCATTTGAAGGACATCCTGACCGCCCTGTGTTAAACTTTTTGGAAACTCGACTTGTTTATTTCCCACTGATCTGTCTCCAGGCGGTGCAGTGTGTGTGTGTGTGTGTGTGTCTGTGTGTGTGTGTGTGTGCGTGCCAGGTGTTATTCAACAAACTACGGGAATTCCATAATGACATAACATCTCATGATGTGAACTGAAAGCAAAATGCTTTTGAATGGAGCAGCCTTTCTCTGCGTCGAAAACATGTTTTTCAGCAGAGGGGTTAACGCGAGGGCGACGCGGAGCGCACCACGCAGCTGTTTTTAACCCTCTCAATGCACTTTTTTGTTGACTCGCCGAGCTTCTTGATCCACCTCGTCAACAATTCTCTTTCTTGCGCGCACCACCTGTCAAACCTGCACCTCCAGGTTGCTCTGAGCGATGAAGTCGATCGCCGCTGACCTGCGTGAATACCGTGTTGTTCATCATGCGTGCACGCTGATGCTTGTCAGCCGATTGTGTTGCCGTGTTAGTTCTGTAAAGCCTCCTCGCAGCGCACTTCTCGGCAGTATGACGAGAGCCGTGCACGATCGTCTTCCTATAAATGGATGAGGCAGTGTTTGGCCAACAGACACTTTTTCTCACCAAAAAAACGCAGGTTTTTTTTTCCATTTTGTCTATTAACATTGTAACGTTTTTGTTGATAAAACGTGAGACTTTATTCTTGTAAAATAACAATGTTTTGACTTATACTCATATTACAATTTTCTTATTAGGTTATGACTTAAAAAGAATGACTTAAACCTCTCAACGACATTTTTCTCATAGTCTGAATTTATTATCAAAACACATAAAACATTTTATTTCTCCCCAAAAAGTCACCTTTTTTCTTGAATTCTATGAATTATTAAAAACCGGATTTATTCTCATAAAACCTTCAT